GGTGCCCAGCTCACAGGGGTGAAAAGAAGGGGGTGTGAGTCCAGCTGTCCCCTGGGGCCCAGCTCACAGGGGTGAAAAGAAGGGGGTGGCGAGTCCAGCTGTCCCCCGGGGCCCAGCTCACAGGGGTGAAAAGGGGGTGATGAGTCCAGCTGTCCCCCGGGGCCCAGCTCACAGGGGTGAAAAGGGGGTGGCGAGTCCAGCTGTCCCCCGGGGCCCAGCTCACAGGGGTGCAGAGCAGCACACACTCTGCCGCTCTCTGGGATTCCCAAGCCCAGGCTGGCTGAGGTCTGGCAGCCAGAAGCTCCTGGGCTGGCACTGCAGGAACAGGTGTGAGGAGGTGATACAACCTCAGGCCCACGAAGCCTGTGCTTCTGCAGGTGGCACCTGTTACACCCTGACCGCCCCTTGGGTTCCTAGCTAAGCTCCCTGTGAGGACTCCAGCGGTGTGACAGGCTGAGAGGAAAGGGATGTCCTTTTTTCCGGCTCGGCTTAGGGCAGGCTGAGGAGTTCAGCAAGTGCGGCACTGGGTGACGTGGCAGAGTGCGCACCAGGGGGTGGGACAGTGGATGGTCCCTGGTCCTTCCCCATCAGGCCCTGCAGAGTCAGACACCCGAACAGCCCGGCCCTGTGCATACCTGTAGGTGATTGGAACACCGGCCAGGGGGCTCTGGAGGAATCTTGATTTCATCGGGCGACATGTTTCGAACTCTTTCTGAAAAGGAGGCTGTAGAGAGAACAGAAACATTCTGCAGGTGAGGGGTGTGGGCGGGAAGAGACAGGGGCAGTGTGAAAGGAAACACAGAAACTGGTCCTTCGGGATGTCAAGTTCACCGGCTGCTCCCTGGGGAAAAGATGGGCAGCATTTCCCGAGTGATTCATAGCGTCTGAAAACCTGCTGACAGGTCAGCGGGGAGCCACTTCCGCTGGACAGCAATGACAAAGGCTGTGAAGACTGTAAGAGAGGGTGTCCAGGCTTCTTTGAGAGCATGTCTGAGCTCTGAGTGCTATTACATCAGAAATCCAAGACAGAACCACTCTCCCAGTGTGGCGGTGATAGGGGCTCTGAGTCGGCCCTCTAGTGAGACCCTGTGTAGACAGGAGGGAAGTCAGCCAGATTCTGTGTGGCCTTGCCCTCTCTGCGAAGCAGAAGCTCAATGCTGCAGCCACAGTGTCACCCTGTCCATGGGAGAGTCTCCCTCTCTTGGGCTGACTGTTTTTCTGAGCGTGATGGCCTTCTCCAAGGACATCACAGCTGGAGAGGCTGGGAGTCTCTGAGTTCAGGGCATCAGCAACAGGGGGAGATGTTCTCCTTCTCCGCTGTCCTGAGAGGTACCCTGCGCAGTGGCCTCACGTCCACAGAGGCTCTGCTCCTGGCTCCTCTTTCTTGCTGATAGCAGATCTCTCTCCCCCTCACTGGTTTAATCTTGTATATCGCAAACAAAGTGATTCAAAATACAACTTAATCCTCAAGATTGTATCTTGTCTCATTAACCGCCTCATTAATATCAAAGATGAAGACTTCTAACACACAGGAGAATTACCTCAAACCACAAAACAGAAGATGATCACAGACTGCTGATAATCATGGCCTTGCCAAGTTGACATACACTTTTAGGGACACGGTTCAATCCGCAATAGATGATGCCATTGGAGTTGAAAGAGAATGACCAGAGTCACCAGCCACTGCCAGTGTGGCCAACGCACAGCTCGGGCAGAAGGTGTGGGTGCAAAGGACGTGTGTCACGGAGCCTTAGAAGTTATCTTTTAGCGCAATCAGCTGGGGAGGCATGCTGCCTTGTAGGTTTGCCAATTTCCAGGCTGTAAATTTTCCCTCAGGGGCTAATCTCAAGCTACCAGTGTGAGGTCACTGACTTTGGAGCAGGGAGAGGTTTGCTCCAGCCAATTGCTGGGCTTATGTCCAACCTGTCCCCTCCCACAGGACCCCTGGAACTTAGAGCTGCTTGGTGCCATCCCTGTCATCCCAGGGCTCTGGGGTGCTGGCTACCAAGGCCTCTAGAACGTGGCACAGGTGCCACTGAAACGGCTCAAGTTACAAAGTAACTGGGGGCCTTTAAGAGGAAGAAAGAAGCCAAGCCCTCAGCGCTCTTGAGGGCCACCTCACTGGTGGGAACAAAAAGCCCATTTCTGATGTGAGGAGCTGCAGCTGGAGGGGTAATCCCACAGAGCACTGCCCGTCCCCACCCAGGCCTGTCCTCCCGCCCCCCTCCACTGCTTCCCTGTGGCCTCTGGCCACCCTGCCGGCTGCAGAGTCCCAGAGTCCCGCTCTGCATGGCTCAGACAATGCGCTTTTTGTTGTCAGGTTCTGCCCATGCTCTTCAGAAAGTTCCCTCATGAAAAGAACCATACAATATGTAAACAGCAGGCAAAGTGGGGTGGGGCAGGATGAAGGGCAAAAGTGACTGAATCACCACTGGTAACGGCCAGCAAGGACTGACTGGAAGGACTGGACTGGCACTCGTGTGCGAGGCCCGCGGGGCACCAGCTCTCAGAAGCCAAGTGGCTGCCCGGTGCTGCCCGCGGTCTCAGTGTTCTGTAAGGCACACTCCATGGTCAGGGGTCCCTGCTGCAGCCATGCAGGCCCACACACACTGCTGAGGCTGGCAGAGTGCCATCCCAGACGATGCTGCTACCTGACAGTCCCTGCCCTGGACGGCTGAAAGCACAGGCACAGATTAGGGGTAGACCAGAGGCCTGTCTGGACCTGACACCGCTGCTGTGTGTCCTAGGAAGTGTAGTGTGGGGGCACAGGTGGCCCCAGGTCTGGTTGGAGGGAAGTCTAGTCTTGCTTCTGTTCTCTCAGACCTCAGGCAGCTAGAACTCAGTGCAAGGGCCCGCCGGGCGTGGAGTGCACAGGGGCAGCACGGCCCCTTGACTTAATGAAATCGGGAGAAAACCCCGGGCACACACACACGCAGAGAAAGCATGCCGCTGGAGCAGGACAAAGAGCGTCCTTTGATTTGCCAGGAAGGCCTTTTGGAAAAACAGGGTGTGGCCCGTTGCCACAGCAACCTAACTGCATTGTGGGGTTCAAATAAGCCAGTGTGACCAGGAACGCCTACTGACCTCTCAGGCTGGAAACAAGAGAGTCACCAGGAAGTAACGGGCACAACAGGGAACACATTCAAGTACACCCGGAGAAAGCTGACCCCGGAGGGCCACGCAGGAGCAATCTTTCCTAAGTCCCGGAAGACATCTAAGACATCAGACCCGCTGTTATCTGAGGAGCCACCGAGCCTCAAGCATCGTCTTGGGAATATATTAGAAAATGTGTCCCCAGATGTGTGTAGACAGTGCTGGGAGGCAGCGGGGGCGCTCTGAAGAGGAGGGACAGGGCAGCGCTCTACCCAGGGGATGGCTTCACCTCCTCCCTAATCCCTGCAGAGGGGGCTGTCCCCAGCGGGAGGCCTGACACTCTGAAGTCACGGACAGGGACCCAACCCAGGGACAGCATGGTTAGTGAATGCCACCGTCAGCTCAACTTGTCACCTCCTCAGTGAGAAACGGAAGAATGTCCAGGATGACCAGGCTTCACTGTCCACTTGTGTCTCTGGTGGGTGAGTGGACGCTTGTGGGGCATCACTGCAATCAAACATCAAAGCCAACCAGACTCTCTGTCGTCACGTGGACCCACAGTGACCCTCTACCGGGTTCCTGAGGCTAAACCTATCACGGGAAGAAACTGTCCATCTTTCTCCCCAGAGTGGGGGGAGCTGTGAACGACTTATCTTTTCGTTAGCAGCACAGCTTGTCACGTAACTCACCACCAAGGCTGTGGTCAACGGAATTAGCCCTGAGCGAGAAAAAGAAACATGGATACGCTTACAAGGACGGAGTCATGCTTCTGAGCTCTCAGAAGCAAAGCACCAAGCGAAGACGCCAGACACGGAAGACTGGAGGATTCCCATGGCATCAAGGGTCAGAGGGCACTGGGCAGGGTCTGGAGACATTCTCCATGGTCACAGCTGGGAAGCGGGCTCTACTGGCAAGCAGAGAGTAGAGAAACCAAGGATCCTGCCTACTATCCGATAATACACAGGGCAGGCCCCACGATGACACGTCAACAGTGCTGAGACTGAGAAATCCTGACTGTAATGAAACTGAATACAGACAGAACTGCAGTGAAGAAGCAGGGACATTTACTTTGACCTGAGATTGAGGAGAGCTTTGCAAAAAGCATGGGGGGCTCCACAGGGACATTTCAGGGTGGTGGGGCTAACAAGACTCTATCCGTCAAAACCACTGAATGGCCCCTAAAGCAGGTATGTAAAGTGCAAAAAGGGGAACGTCAAAGGCTGAGCAGCTGATGCCCACGTGCATTCCACCGGCTGTCTGCCTGCCTGGATGTCACGAGGGGAGGAGAGGACACTACCGTGTCCTGGTGTGACCAGGCTGCCCTCTGCCCCCACCCTGTGTGGTTTTTCAGTAGGAAACAGCAGGGGTGGGAGGTGGGGATTAAGGAGAGAGGCCGATATCCAAGCCCCCACTCGGCACCAGGACGGCTGCTGGCTTCCTGGCCGACTTGACTGCAACCTTCCTTCCGAAAAGCCAACTGCCACACTTCCAGGGAGCTGCTTCCTAGAGCAAGCACCAAGGCCAGGTCTTGGGAAATGCTGATTTTTGTAGGATCTGAAGGATGCAAGCTACATTGATCAGGAAACTCATAGTGGAAGCAGCCATGTTCTCGGTTACCACCCAGATGGTCAGTTCCTACCAAGACGCCACCTCCCATGCTAGTGAGCTGAAGAGGCCTGAAGGAGGACATCAGGTGAGCAGGGGCAGGAAGCAGCACTCACAGCCTAAGTCCTGGGCTTCTGGGTCCCCAGGGCATGTGTGGAGTGTCAGCCCTGAAGAGGAAGCAGGGGGACAGCTCTGCGGGCCACCATCCAAGTCCTGCTACGTGAAGACTCACAGGGCAGGATGGGGGAGAGCAATGGCCGCCACAGAGAGGAGGGCGCAGGTGCTGGGAGAGCTGCTATCGAGTCCACAGGGAGGTGAAGCCGCTGAGGGGTTTTCTAAGAGGATTAAGAGGCTTGGTTGATGTCTATGTGGTGTTCAGAAACAACCACGCTGTTTCTTTCCAAGTTTCCAAGGGGCCCAGGCTCTGGGGCTGAAAGGCAAGTTCCTGCCTGGGGACAGGGTGCAGTGCCAACAGCGGCCATGTGGTCACTCCTCAGGCAGCAGAGGGGAGGACAAGTGCCAAGACAGAGCACAAGGGGCGTGGGCGTTCAGCTGAAGGGGCCCAGAGCTCTCCCTTGACAACCTGGGCAATCTATCAGCTGCAATGAGAGGCATCGAGGGGCCACGCTGAAGGCCTGACCCCTGGCGATTTAACCAGACATTTCGGCGGACGCCAAGGGCCAAGAGGTCGCACTCCGAAAGGCCTGAGCAGAGGCACCGTGGGCGCAGGCCCCACTGGCGGGGAAGTGAAGGCCCAGGGAACTTACCAACTAGTTCTTGAGGGTCCCGTTTTTCTACTTCGGCGTTATCCTGTAAAAGAGAAGCAGAAACACAAGGGGGTGAGCTTGGTGAGGCCAGTGCTCAAGGAGGACAGATCAAAGTGGTGCAGAGGCAGGATGAGAGCCAAGGTCCTGGGGACACGGCCTCTGCCCCCTCCTGGATCAGAGCTGCTGAAGGCTCACTCGTCACAGATCCCAGCAATGACTGACCCCCTACTGCAGAGGCAGACCCAAGCTATCAAGCCCTCGGAGCCCTGCACCCTGTGCCCTCTCAGGTCAGTCTCAGAGATGACGTGCACAGCTCAGCCCGTGTCAGAATCCCACAACCACTACTCAAGATGGTGTTGTCGTTGTGTGCTGCCAAGTCAGAACCGACCCATAGTTGACCCTCCAGAGACAATAAGTCACGTGGAGAGACAGCCCATCCTCCAGCAGAGCAGCTGAGGGATTTGAACCACATGCTCTTGGGACTGCAGTGCAGCTTCTTATCACCAGGCCAACAGGACCCTCTGGTGCTCAGGCCAAGAAGAACAGCTCCTAAAAGTCTTTTTTCTCTTCTTTTTAAAAAAATTTTAGCAAAAAGGAGAGATATTATCGTAAGAATAAAGGGCAGTCTGAAGCAGGCCCTGGATGAGTGGCTGGTCACCCCAGGAAGGCGGCACCACAGAGCGGCCTGCCCCTCCGCGGTCACCTCAGTCTCTATGTGGCCTGAGCTCACGCTCGTTCCAATCCTTCACGCCAGCTGTTCCTGGCAGAATGAGGTTGAAGGTGCCCTGTACTTCCACTGCCCCAAACAGGAAATGAGGAGCACATGCCCACTCCCCCCACTTCTGGGCTGTGGATGCCCAGCCCCGCAAACACAGCTGCAGGGGGCTTTCAAACACCCAACTGGGAAATGGCCCTAACAGACAAGTCCACCAAAAGCAGATGGCCGTGAGAGAGAGGAGACCAGAAAGCTGAGCTTCAGGTCTACGAGCAGACCTCTGCAGCCCCCCTGAGGTCATGTCACATCGAGTACAGCTCAGAAGGAGGGTGCAAACCCGGCTCTGCATCCGACCCCCCGCTCAGCTCCACCAAGACTGAAGGATGGCGCTTAATCTCGGCCTCAAAAAGTCCTCCCAAAAAGACACAGGCCCGGCCCCACGTTCTCCTCACGGTGTGGCGTTTATGCGGCTCAGACGGGCGTCGTGTTGTCATTCAGTGCCGGGCTGCTCACCCACCACTGCTTCTAGTCACCCTCACCGCCAATCAGGTGGGCACAGGAGGCTGGGCCCGGGTGGTGGTGGTGCCAGGTGGACTGACACACCCCATTCAGGCTGCTTTCCTGAGCGGGCCAGGCTCCCTGGGGACCAACCACCTCTCCTTGTGGTGGTGACACAGAGGAAATCAGCCTTACAGAGCATGCCAGGCATAGAGTGAGTGTGGCCTGGGACGGTCCCTCAGCGTCGGCTCTGGGGCCAGTTCTCTGGGTGCTAACAGTGGGCCAGCACCGTGTGGCACATTCTAACTTCCCCATGTGCTGCACTGGGCTGAGGCTGGGTCAAGGATGAGGGGCCAGCTGTCCACACTGGAATTCTAATGTTTGTTCATGTCACAGGCTCCTTGGGTCAGGCGGGGCTGCAATGGTGGAAGGGGCTGGTCCTCTGTTTCCCCAGGCCCCAGACTGGCTTAGGGATCACTGGGTCATGCTTTCAGAAGGAGGAAGACTGGACAAACTAACAGAGCAAACCCCAAGCCCACTGCTGTCAAGCTGGTCCTGACGCACGGATAAAGGCGTGCTCTGGTGGCCTAGTGGCAAGAAGCTGCACTGCGATCCCGTCTCTGTGGGAGAAGGAGGGGCAATCTCCTCCCCTGTAATTATCTGCCTCCTGATCAGCGATGAGTTGGTCCCCACTACTGCACACAACAACAACAACAACAATATTCCTTTAATTTCTTCAACTTCTGGTTTGTCTCTTCTTTTCACATTAAATCTGTCTGCACTGATTGCAGATTGTGTACTCTCTCAGTCCATGTGCACACTGTGAGCTGAAGACGTGACCTACGGACTCTGACTCAACTTTGAACCCTGCACCAGGGAAACACCTCCCCCCAGCTCCCCTGGTCAATGCCCCAGGAGCCCCACTTCCAGTGCCTGTGGCAAGACCACCTCACTTCTGGGAAGATCCCTGTATCTTGAGAGAAGGTGACACACAAGCCATCAGAGGTTGGCACAGACCACAGCCGCAGGAAGTGGCCAAACTACTGCTCAAAGGTCCCTGGAAGACTCTGGAATCTCCCGTTTAGGTCACAGCCTCCCACAGGCCTTGGGAGGCTCTCAAGAACCAAATGACAGAACCTCTGCTTCCTGGTGGCCACGTCTTGCTATAGTTTAGAACTTCCTTCTGACAGAAAGGAGCCCTATGGCTCAGTGGTGAAAGTGTCCAGCTGCTAAGGAGAAGGCTGGCAGTTCCAATCTACCTGCTGCTCTGCAGAAAGATGGGGGTCTGCTTCCGAGTGGAAACCCCAAAGGGCAGTTCTACCTGTCCCTCAGAATCAGTGTGAGCTGAGATCCTTTTGGCAGCAGTGGGCAGTGACCTCCAAGACGGGAGCCCATGTCACTGTACCCACGGGGGTCGGGATGAACAGCTCTCCCGGGATGAATGACCCGCTCAGACAGTGACCCTAAAGTGCCCATTTGGTAAAGGCTCTGAAGCCCTGGCCCCATGGACGAAGGTGGACCCAGGCCTTCTAAGCAACCGGGGGGAGAGCTCAGTGAGAAAGGTGAGGCAAGTGTCGGGTCATGACTGCTGGAGTGACCGGGACCCCACTGACGTCCTATAGAATCATGTCCCCTGAGACAAGCCCAGCTCCATCCAATGAAAGCCACTGGTCACTCTAAGGGCATTGCTTCATTACGATCTCCTGCAGCTGTCAGCCTGGCAGGGAAGCAAGGAGATGCAGTCTCTCCACCGTCAGACGTCAGGACCAGGAAAGCTGTGTGAGAATGGACCGAACACTGGTCAGTAATGTGGGTGCAGATGAGGGGCGAGAAATACTTGACAAAACAGTGAAAAAAAGATGACAGAGCTAAGGAGATGGAAGAATTCACATCAATTGCCAGCCGGGGGTTCCAGAAACCGGTTTTACAAAACCTGTTGCAGGGAGAGTCTCACCATGTTACTAGTGAAGCAGGGAAGGGGGGTGTTTAGCAATAAAACAAGAAACCACTGTTCCTCTTTTCCTCCCCAGCACCGTTCGCAGCACCGGGGGACCTGTTGTGACCTGTCTGACCCGCCCTGCTGCCTCTGGGTGGATGTTCTGTCAGAGCGATGGACCCACCCTGCAAATCAAATGAATTCTGTCCACCAGATCAAGAGCTCTGTCCACCAGACAGTGTCTGTGTCAGCTGGAGGCTCAGAGCCCACAGCTCAGGGACGCAGGACTGTGACCCCCCGGAACAGATAACATCTGCTCTTCCCCAGCACAGGCTGGTGGGTGCCCCAATCGTCAGCAAGATGAAAACAAAGTGTCTCGTCCCTAGTCCAAGTTCAACTAAGGGAGTTACTAGCTTCTGTTAAGGATAATGGAGCAATGCGGAAATGGATGGTGGCAACCACATAACACGACGATTATAATGAAAGCCTCAGGACTGTATGTGCCAAAATTATCGAAAAAGCAAATGTTTTGGAGCTAGATGCCTGACTTGGACAGCTCATACTTAATGACAGGCTTGCATAACTCAAACACACTCTGCTGGCAAGCTGGATCCAACTGGTGAGCTGACACCACTCCTACCCCAACTTAGACTCAGTGTGATTTAAAAGCCAACCGGACCCAGAGTTTCCCAGCAGACACCAAGTAGCAGGTGGGAAGGTAGGTCTGCGAGCTGCACCGACAGAGGCCACACCAGGGCCTGTACCCCTCCCGGGCCTCCCTGGGACACAAGCCCATCCACACAGGCCAGGGCTGTCCCTGGAGAAGGCTGGCAATCTCAGTCTGTCAATTATCCTTTCCCAATCAACAGGGCACAGGGACGTGTGAGAATTTAACAGCTATGGCTGAAGGCGGTACGGTGGGATGAGACCCCACCCTGGGGAACGGCAGAGCCTGGAACGCAGCTCCCCCGGAGCAAACACAAAAGTCCAGCCTGCGATGAAGCTGGGGCCGGAGAAAGGAAGGAAGCAGCAACAATATGGATCCGTGCGGCTGGACCGGCGGCTGGAGCTGGGAGGACTGAGTCAGTTGAGAAGTGAGGGTCCCACAGAGGGAACAGAGGCTTGTTTACAGCCAACAACACTTCCCAGAGCCTTCCTGGAGCCAGCCCCATGAGGCATCTGACTGGGATACCGCATGGCAGTTGTGGCCTCTGGCATCGAGCCCCGGAGCACTGGGCACTGTAATTGCGAGCCCACTGCCTGGGGGTGCCCAGCTCAGGCACAGGTGTGACGGGCTGAGACAATCCCAGGTGACTCCGCCTGAGACTAAGGGAAGCGGGTTAGGACAATAATGCCTTCTTACACCATGCTCTGCAGACCGGGGCAGCCCTGTGATTAAGTCCCCACGGCCCCTCACTTATGAGCGGAGCTCACACTGTAACCAGGGGCCCTGGGGTCCCAGGCCCACACTGAGCTGCTTACTGTCCTCCCATCAACAACACTACTTCCTGCACGGGGCCTCTGCAGTGCCTGTTCTCGGCGTCTCCCACCGCACAGCTGCCCTGTCAAGTCCTCTCTGGGCTCCAGGTCTCAGTCCCAGTAAGCTGCCTCCACTCCAGCCACCATGGCCAAGGAGGACACTCTCAAGAACGGCCCCTGCCTTCCCGCTGTGCTCCTAACGCCCAGCCTAGCCCTGCACCCATGGAGGGAGACTGCCACATCCTTCTGCTGTGGAGCAGCGTGGCTGCTGGGTTTGACTCACCAGCCCGTTAGTTAGCAGGTGTGTTCTTTTAGCACTGAGCCTTGAGAGTTCCTTGCTGGGACTACAGTCTTGCTCAACCACTGGCGAATCAAATACCCAACACAGAGAAAAGAGAGACATCACCTTCTGCTG